AACGCCAATGAACAGGGCCCGTTTCACGCATTGATTTCTTGGTTCTACGCGGCTATGAAGGTTTGTATAGGCCTCGCCCCCACTTGGAAGTTCGGTAAGTGGATAGCCAACTTACTATATTGGCGAAGCAAACACCTAAGTACGATGCCGGGCAGTAAAACCGTTCGATCAACTGGCCCCTTTGGGGTTTTGGGCACTCAAGACCCGGTCTTCGAGTAAGCACTCAAGTGGGCAAGGAACTTCCCATGCGTGTTTCTCAAATAGAAATAGCACCAAAATGGGGTGTGTCCTTGTGGTTTCCCTTTACACGCACCCCAAAAGAAGGCGTCCACTAGTTTGAAATGCACCCCCCAAGTCCCCGCTCGATTTGCCTAGAGCTTACATGTGGCTCCCCGGTGTGTTGACTCAACGCCGGGCTCGTGGAGAATCAGCTAACCCACGTGTTCCTCCGTGCTTCTTCGGTTTCAAACACAACTTTCACACAAAAAAAACACACACCTTTCACACAAAAAACCAAAAACGACACATGGCCTGTGTGTTTTTCTCTTTTCCGAAGAGGGCTGTTCTCCCTTTGCGTTCCCCTCGAAACCTGGAAAGAAGAAGCCCATCATGTGAGCCGCAAGCCACGAGACAGGGCTGAACGTGGCCAGCTTGTTGTGCTTACGTATGCTTTGAACGGAAATGAAAGGAAGCCAACCATTTTGGGGGGTCCACAAAGAAAAATCACATCCAAATCAACCCACCAAAGCCAATTTTTGTTGGGGGAGGGGAGTCCCCAAAGAAAAAAGAACACATTCCAAAGCAACCCACCAAATGAAATGCCGACCAAACCCGGAAAAAAAAAAACTCGGGGTCTTGCTTTCTCCAACGCTCCCCTCTCATCCCTCCTCATCCACGTTCCGGCCGAAGGCCAAGTTGTTGACGGTGGCGTGCTGCACGATGCCCTCCTGGCATCCACGCGGTTTTGGGGCCATCGGGGCCCTGAAGATCTGGTTGGCAACTTGGAGTGAGGCTCATGGAGTGGCGCGTAGACCTGAAACCGTAAGGGCAGGGCTGGGCCTTTTCTGGCTGATTGATTTTAGAGGATCTAAGCCTTCGACCCTTTCACAAGGGTAGAATTGTGGCCCCTGGAAGAGGGCATAGAAAAATCAGCTCTCCCTCAATCCCACCATCTTTTCAGGAAAGAGATAAATTATTCGGGAGCCCAATGCATTGCTTCGTCACTCCTCACTCCTGGAGTGTACAGACCGCAGGGCGGCTCCTTTCAAGGGCAATTGAATTGCTCCCGGCACACCAAAGAAAACTCATTCGGAAACCAACTGGAATTCATCAACACCCCAAGTTTCATAGGGTGTCCTTGTGTTTGGGAAAATCCCCCCCCAATGAAACGCCTGCTTCTCGGGGCTTTTGTTTTCGCTGGGAACACCTCAGATGATGTTTGGGGCCGGGAAAGCACACTCGGGACTCTTGTGCACCGCAACAAATGGAGGTCTTGAAAGAGCAAACATAGACAAAACCTGCGCCTTTTGGCTACGCGTGCCTTCCGTTCATCTGAACCCCCTCCCCCCCCAAACCCCGCTCCTTGTCGATGATGAAGAGCGCTCGATAGGCAACCCCCTCGGGGCTGAGCACCTGCTGCGAAGTAAGTCGACGCAAAGTAAGTGTGTGACCCTATTTGCAGAGTACCCTTCTTGGGACGGCTGTAAAGAGTGTCTTGGGTCTGCTGGAAAGAGAAACCAAAGCAACAAAGCAAATGTCTAAGGGTACCTTCCATGTCCATTCTTTCCAGGGATCCGGATCTTTTCAGGAAACCATCAAAAACCCAGGGGAAACAGATCCGGTTATTGAAAAGAACGATGGTTTAAAAGAAGGGGAAATCAACCCTAGATGTGTCCCTTTTTGCAGAGTGCTGTAAAGAGATTTGCACAATGGGGACATGAAGAGTCCACAGCAGCTTCACACTGGTGAAATTGAAACTCCCCTTTACCAGACAACGGCACCCCCGAAATCCCATGGGTTTCCTTTTGGTAGCCCATTCCATCCCATGCCATGCCAAGGGTATCCTCAGAAAAGAAAAAGAATTAAAAAAAGAAGTAAAAGCAGCAAGAAAAGAACAAAGAACAGAAAAAAGAACAACAACCAAAAAAAAGGCAGGCCCCAAAAAAACTGATACCTCTTTGCCGGGTTTACCACCCACGGGAAAGCAGCTAGGCTTCTCCTTGGGTCATGTACTCGGAAGAGCGCATGGTTTTTTTCCCAGACAGCCTCTAACAAGCCCTGAGAGCCCCGGTTTAACCCGCCAGTTTTCGCAGGCTGAGTTGCCAACTGCCTGAAACACCAACAAAAGCACACAGACACAGACACAGACACAGACACAGACACAGACACAGACGACACAGACACAGACACAGACAGAGACAGAGACAGAGACAGAGACAGAGACAGAGACACGGACACGGACACGGACACGGACACGGACACAGACACAGACGCCGACGCGGACACGGACACGGACAAAGACACAGACACCGACGCGGACGCGGACACGGACACGGACACGGACACGGACACGGACACGGACACGGACACGGACACGGACACAGACACAGACACCGACGCGGACACGGACACGGACACGGACACGGACACGGACACGGACACGGACACGGACACGGACACGGACACGGACACGGACACGGACACAGACACAGACGCAGACACAGACACAGACACAGACACAGACACAGACACAGACACAGACACAGACGCAGACACAGACACACACACACCTCGAATGGGTTCAACTCACCTCGAATGGGTTTTTCCCCGGTTTCATGGCCGAATGAGTTGTGCTCTAAGTTGGCACCCATGGCCCATGGCCCCCTGGGGCCGCCGGCCCCAAAGGCGGTCGCCAGCTTCCGGTGGAAGTCCTTGCGCGCGGGAAAAAGCGGAAGCCTTCGGCCGGCGGAAGCCGCATGGATGTCCTCAAACGCCCGTTGCAGGTTACTTTGTGCGTTCTCGGTGCCACTTGGATGTTCAACCTACAAGGCTGCAACTGGATTGGGCAACCGACTTAGTAGTTTCTAACCAAGGCTACAACTGGATTGGGCAACCGACTTAGTAGACAACTGGATTGGGCAACCGACTTAGTAGTTTCTATCGAAGGGTACAACTGGATTGGGCAACCGACTTAGTAGTTTCTATCCAAGGGTACAACTGGATTGGGCAACTGACTTAGTAGTTTCTATCCAAGGGTCTGGACAAATTATAATTGACAAGATCTCCAACCCATGGATTCCCTTTGAATATCAAGAGAAAAAGGCCCCTGCAGATTAGCAGGTTATGAGCCCAAAACCCTAAAGCCATGCGAGCGCGAAGAAGCGCACACCTTCGTGGAGACGGAGGGCAAGGGCCTGAAGGAGACCTTCTACAGGAGGAGGAAGACCGTCAGGTGGGAGAGTCAGGCCAGGGCAGTCAGCAAGAGGCCCTGGCACTGGTGGAGCCGGCACCGGGCCTTGAGCTGATCGGCCAGGAGCTGGCGTTGGTGGGTCAGGAGACGGTTCAGGGGAGTGGAAAGGGCAGCTCAGGCAGCGGGCCGAGGTCGACTCGGAAGGCGCCTGCTGGAGGACAAGGAGGAGCCGCAAGTGTTGATGGCGCTGTGGATGGTGGCGCTGGGGAAGGAACGGAAACCCCGGGCACGGTGATGGTGCCAAGGAGGCTTTGGTCTACGGCGTCGAGAAACCCGTGGGCATCTCCGGTGGTGGCTGGAGAAGAGCATCAACCTGGAGAGGAACAAGGAGATCGGCAATGGAGAGGCGGTCCGAGTGGGTCACCGCAAGCCTATGGCCCGCTCTTTACAAAGGAGCAGCTGGACTACCTGCAGCGGTGGGATAAGCCGGGAGGATTGGTGAACCTGGGGAAGGCGAAGGAGGAGCCGGAACTTCAGCTGGTGAGGCCTGGGTTTTTGGACCAGGAGAGACTTCATCGGGCACCAGATGGGGACGGTCCACAGCAAGACCCAGGGCAAGGGAACCAGGACTACCTCATCAAGGAAATCCAACGGTTGCAGGAGGAGAATAACAAGCTCAAGGCGGCCACGGGCTCGGGGGAGACCTATGTGACTCCGGATCACCCCAGCGTGAAGGACGCGGATAACCACAAGCCGGAATCCTCGGAGGAAATGATTCGGGACGAGGAGAAGTCTAATCCAGACCACCTTGCGATCATTCTGAAGCTCATGGAGGGCATGCAACAGATCCAGAAGACGCTGGTCAGCGGTGCCAAGGGCAAAGATGATGATCAGGTGGAGATGGTGAAGGCCGGAGCGATCGAGCTGCCGGTGCTGGCGGAGCTATGTGCGGAGACGAGTTCAATCGACCTGCAGGACTGGCTGACGCTGATTACCCCGGCGATGGCGGACATCTCGGAGACCAGCCAGGAATGGTGGGAGCTTGTGTTGCAGGAGGCGAAGGCGTGGTACGATAAGTACATGCAGGAGGCGCCGTTGAAGAGGCTGGCGATGGTCCCTACGAAGGGAGAGTCGGAGAGCCCCAAGTGGAGAAGAGTGGAAAGAAAGGCAGTCACGCTGCTGGTGAAGGCGGTGCCCGACCAGGTCAAGGATGAGTTGGTGGCGACGAAGAGCCTGAATGCCCTGTCGCTGGTTTGCAAGCTGATGATGATGTACCAGCCGGGTGGTATCGCGGAGCGAGGCGCGATTCTGAGGAACTTGGAGCAGCCTCTGGAGGCGAACAACATCCAGGCGGCGGTGACGGGCATCAGAAGGTGGCTTCGCTGGAAGCGGCGGGCGGAGGAGATCGGGGTGTCCTTGCCGGATCCCTCGGTCCTCAATCGAGGTTTGCATCGTCTGGTTCGGAAGGTGCTGGAGGGCAACCGGGACCTTAGCTTCAAGATAAGCCTGGCGAAGTCGCAGCTACAGGTGGACACGGTTCCGACCCACAGCACGGTTGGTGTCTACTGTGAGCACCTGCTGTCGGAGCTGGAGCAGCTGGTGCATACGGAGAAGAAGGTCAGTCCTGGGGAGGCGAGAGCCAAGAAGATCGAAGGCACCTATGCGGAAGACAAGACCAACGGCAAGGAGGAGACGACGAAGGAGAAGAAACCCTGTCGCTTCTTCCTGACGGACATGGGATGCCGCCGTGGGAGTCAATGCACATTTGGCCATGATGCGCGAGATGGGCGAGCTCGGTGCTATGGGTGTGGAGCGGTCAATCACTACGCCAAGGACTGCCCGAGGAAGGTCGTCAAGGACTACAAGAAGGATGCGAAGCCGTCGTCTCCAAAGGTCGCGAAGATTGAGACGGAGGAGGGGGCGACTTCGGTTTGCGAGAAGGGTGAGACGCCGAGAGGAGCAACCAACACGGAGGGGACATCGCCCACTCAGAAGGAGAAGGGGGATGCAGAAGCCTTGCAGAATGTGTTGGAGGAGGCCGGGAAGATGCTTCGCTCTTTGACGGTGACCCCACCGAAGAAGACAGGGCGGGAAGCCCGACTGGAGGACATCCAGAAGCAGCTGGACGACATGAAGTTGCGAAAGTTTGAAGAGGTGAAGGTCTCGAAGATCAACTTCCAGAATGAGAGGGGGTTGCTGGATTCGGGAGCCACCCACGCCATGAGGGGCTTGCAAGAGGGAGAGGAGTTGGAAGACTTGGAGGTCATCCAGGTGGAGCTGGCCGGAGGTCAGAAACAGGAGCTAAGGATGACGAAGGGCAAGGTCATCGTTCATGACGACCCCCAGGTGCAGCCGATCGTACCGCTGGGCTTGATGGTCAACAAGCTCGGCTGTGAAATCAAGTGGAGTGTTATGGGATCCTGCAAGGTGAGACATCCGGCTCTGGGTGACATCCCTGTTTGGATGAATGCTGGATGCCCGGAGATTGACCGAGAGCTGGCGCTGTGCTTCATCGACATGTTGGAGCAGACGGAGATCTCGGGAGCCAGGGTCAGGTTGGCAAGACACGAGGAAACGGAGCTGAGTGGTTTGGCGGAGAAGGAAAAGGTCTTTTGGGGCGTCCCGGAGAAGATCATGGAGAAGGTGATCGAAAAGCCGGCGGACAACCTGAGAGGCATTCCGCTGAACCGGAGCAGAAGGAGGACGTTGGAGAAGGGGTTTGTACTCCACTTGTATGCGGGTGAGAAGGACGGTTACACCTTGCAGAGAGCGCTCAAGGAGGTGGGCGGTGACACAACCCGATTGGTGGAGGTGGACTTGAAGAGAGGCCAGGAGCACGACATGATAGATGGGCCCCTCTATGCGTCACTGTTGAGAGCGGCTATGGACGGCTACATCTTGGGAGTGGTGGGCGGACCAAACTGCCGGACAAGAAGCGTGCTGCGACATTATCCGTTGCCCGCAGGCAGGCCTCGCCCGGTGAGAGGAGTCACTCCTGAAGATTGGTTTGGTCTTCCGGGGCTCGATGAGGAGGAGAAGAAGCAGGTATGGGAGGACGACGTACTCCTCTACCGCATGATCATGATCTTCTGCGTGGCGGAGGCTGCGAGAAGGGAGAACAGCAGAAAGGGATCAACGAGGGCGAGAGTGACCTTCTTGCTGGAGCAGCCGGAAGCGCCGGACTACATGCCGGAGTGTGGGTCATGGTGGAGGACGGACAACTACCGGAACTTCAGGGACCAGCATGGTTTCGTGGAGCATTGCTTCAGACAGGGGGACTACGGCGGGGTGGCAGTGAAGCCCACGATGGTGGTCACGGACTTGAATGTGGAGCTTCCACCTCGGAGGTCGTCTTCGGCAACTACGAGAGGAGCAGTGGCAGTGGGAAGCTCAGCGGCCTTGTCTAGATGGGCACCGGGCTTCATGCGTGAGGTGGCCCGGGCAATCCAGGAGGAGGTGTTTGGGAAACCGGCTCACATCAAGAAGCTCAGCTGGGTAGAGCATGTCCGGCATGGACATGTGCCTTTTCGGAGGGACTGCCGGGTATGTCAGGAAGCCTCGGCGCGGGGGAAGAGGCATTGCCGCGTTACCTACCCGGATGCCGCGGTGCTGAACGCGGATCTCAGCGGACCTTATAAAGCTGGGAAAGACATCAATGACGCCACGATGAAGTACTTTCTCATCGGCTCCTTCACTTGGCCAGCGGAGGAGGATCAGAAGGAGTTCTTTGAGGAGAAGAAGGGAACCGCGGAGGAGGACCTCCCGGTGATTGAGGAGAAGGGCGACGACAAAGAGGATCCGGATTGCGAGAAAGGGGATCTGGATTGTGAGAAGGGAGAAGGTGATGGTGAAAAGCAAGGAGAATCAGGTCTGGATCCCGAAGAAAAGGCCAAGGCGGAGTGTGGGGAGCCGAAGCCGCTGAAGCTGATTGTCAAGGCTATCCCGTTGCCGGACAAGAAGGCCAAGACGGTGTTGCAGGGATTGCAGGACCTCTACATCCAGTTGAAGAGAGAGGGGTATCCGGTCCAGAGGTTGCATACGGACCGGGGCAAGGAGTTCTTGAACCACGACCTGAAGACCTGGTGCATGGTAAGGGAGATCGAGAAGACCACCACTAGTGGAGATGCGCCGCAAGAGAACGGTCGTGCGGAGGCATGCATCAATAGCCTCAAGAGCAGGATCCGGCGATTGCTGAAGGGCGCCAACCTGGATGTCAAGTTTTGGCCAATGGCGGCGCGCTATGCGATCGTGGCGGAGGAGAAGCGAATGAAGAATGAGATGATGCCGGCAGCATTTGGGGAGGAGGTATGGGTTCCAAAGAGGTCATGGAAACGGCTGCGGGATCCGTTTGGTCCTACCTACGAGAAGGCGCGCTATCTGGCTGTGGTCAAGGAGGTCACGAGCGGACACGGTGTCCTCCGTGAAGATGGAAAGATAGAGGTGGTCTCTCGAATTGTGAAAGGGGTGGTGGAACCAGAAGATTGTCTACTACCGGAGGAGGGAGAGCCGCATCAGCCACGG